ACTCGCATTCGGCCGCGGACACAACGTTAAACCTGTTTAGGCTTGCTTTAAGACTGGTGTGCCCTGCTCTCATACGGTTTACTGACACGAAGGCACGGCTGTTCATTTTTATCTCGCGGAACTACGGAGACGAGCCGTTCCTGTAGTACCTTTCAAAGTAGCTCTCTTCCCGACTCCATTTGGTGCTTTGAGAAAAACTTAAGTTCTTTTTTGCCTTTCTTTTTCCACTGCGTTTTAAGATCTGCAACTGGTAAAAGTAGTTGACTATGTCTGCCTCCTTTGATTGTTTGCTTTGCCTCCAAGTCGGCCAAAGAAGGCAGAGATAGTGAATTAACTTTGCGCTGACCACGCGACACCCTCTATCAGCTAAAGTTGGGACTAACTTCGCCGACAAGCGGCGGTCGCTCGGTAGGTATAGTTCGCTTGCGGACTGAGAAACCACGGAGTTTATTTCTTAATCAGGACAAGCGATGAGATTTCTTAGGCGTGGGATCAGACCACGCACATCAGTCCACACATAGCTATACAGAAAATATGAAGAAACGGAACGAGCGGCGTTTGAACATGTGATAGCAGGGTTCTACAGGTCCTGTCCAAACCGTGGGCTCTCTGTGTGACCACCCATTTCAATATTGGGTGTTATTTACGAATGTCTATTCAAACAGCAGATCCGCATTACGGTTCTGAATATTTCCTTTCTTTATTAACCCCGGAGGAAAGACTCTGGTTGGATCCCGAGATGATCTTGGATTCACCGAAGGGTCACGCGATATGTGCAGCCGTGCATGTGATGGAGTGTCACGTGACTGATTCTGACCACTTTACAGCGACATGTTATTATCCAAGGTATTACTCTCTAATTAGTTCCTCCTTGGATTACAAACAAAAACAAACTCCGTGGCCTTTAGACCGCAAGTGAACTATACCGACCGAGCGACCGCCGCTTGTTGGCGAAGTTAGTGCCAACTTTAACGACCGTGGTGTCGCGTGGTCAGCGCAACGAATCCCCACGGCCATTAATTTCGGTTTTCTAGACCTGAGCCGCTATTTTTCCATTCAAGTAGCTCCTCAGTTATCCTCACGAGGCTGAGGGGACCCCGCTCCAGACGCGATATCTCTCAGAAATGCTGGTAGCGCCGGGAATCGAAACCGGGACCTCTGGATCTGTAGAAGGAACACTGACGAAAAAATCATAGGAGAGGGCCAAAGGGGGGCTGTAGAGCCAGCGAAAAAAATACTACATACATCTAGTCTGATTCATCTTTATCATACTTTCAACACGTCAAAGAAACTACCCAACTCTTCATTACGTATTAGAAATAGACTTGGAGAACGGAGTTCCACGCGGTTCCTCAGACTCAGATGTTATGTGTTTCTGTGCTACAGCTCCATGAACAATGCCGGATAATTACGGCTCCGCATGTGTCTTTTGTTTGGCAGTGTTATTGAAAATGACATGTCCTGCCCTCTCTTGATAGTTCTGCCTTAGTACTTCGGTTTGTCATCTGTGAGTTCCTATGAAAGTAGACAAGAAAGCAACTAACTTCGTTCACTAGAATCCTTGAGGACCAAGAAGTTACACGAAACATGAAGATTCCTTAAACGTTCGCAAGAGTGCACCACTGGACCGTGTGGCGAGCACACAAATCCACACCGTACTTCATTAAAAGAGTTTTTCATATTATCTTACGCTTTACTCCAGTCTCATAAGTGGTTCAGAGCTTTCGGTTAAAAATGTATACTCATTCTCAAATCTTATTGGTGCTACATGCCCTGCCCCTCTGATTCTCCATACTAATTCCAACCAAATTTTTGGGATTCCTGTCAATGGAAATAATAATTTACTATGGAAACACAGAAGAAGGCGCCTATTTTATAAACTAACCCAGTAGAATTCTGTAGCATGTATACCCATTGCTAGGCAACGACCGCAAAATAAACACAACGGCTGTTACTAGGTAACACCCCGAAATAGCAACATAGGAATTATGTTTTCTGAGAGGTTTACGCAACAATGAATACAGCAATAGAGGAACAGTGTTTCTGTGCAGTCCGTGCCAAGATGTTATAAACAGGCCAATTATTGAGAGTTAGTGTGGTGCAGTGCAGGGAAATGATGAGTTAGTTGGTGAATTAGTTAGTCAGAGAACTGTAATTCAGTCGTTGTGAGCAGTTGCTGTTAGAATCTGGTAGCTTAGGCACGGTGACAGTCCGGGAACACAGAGTAAGGGGAACGTCCGCCTTTGAAACCGTTACCAGACAACGACTGGTGAAGATACAGTAGACTGAGAGGGCTTAGTATATACTGTAGTGAACTGCAGAGCATATGCATTAGCGATAGCGCCATACTTACTTGTAATTACTGTCTGTAAGTGGTCAATAAATCCAATTACCTTTCCAAAACCCGTCTGTAGTCAGACTTCATCACGTGGCAATACGAACATTAGATTCCAGAGGTCAGTATCAGGCCTCATTCTACAGGAGAAAATGTGAATTGGCGAGTGAACTAAATGATGAGGTACTTGCATTATAAACAAAGTAAACCAACTCCGTGGCCTGCAATCCGCAAGCGAACTATACCTACAGAGCGACTGCCGCTTGTCGGCGAAGTTAATGCCAATTTTTTCGAATAGAGGGTGTCACGTTATCAGAGCAACAGATCCCCACGGCCGTTAATCTCGGTTTTCTAGACCGGAGCCGCTATTTACTTCAAATAGCTCCCCAGTTATCCTCACGAGGCTGAGTGGACCCAGTTCCAGATCCACTACTCAGAAAATCTGGTTTTGCCGGGAATCGAACCCGGGACCTCTGGATCTGTAGCCAGGAATTCTTGCCACTAGACCACAGCGCTTGCATTATGAGAAGATAAATGTACGGGAATTTATGGAGGGGAGGACTCAGTGGATACTTTACAGTAAATGGAATAGAGAAGTTTTGAGATTGAGTGTATATAAACATGCAAGAAGGAAAGCAACGAAGACAGTGAGCAGGCTGTCCATCGTCCAGTCCTGTTAGTGACAGATCGGTACCTCCTTATGCCAAATTATGTCTGTGTGCTTCTGGCCATGTCTCTCATATTTACAAGTATGACGTAACCGACTTTCAGCAATGACTCAGTTAACTCTCAGGCACAAGTGGGCTAAAAGATTCTTTAGCATTAAAAGGAATATGTAAACGTTCTATCTGGATGGGGTGGATTTTTTCAATTTACCTAATCCTCCCAACCGCACTATGGCCCTGGCAACGACTCTGCCTCTAACAGAAATGAGTAAGTAAGTAAAGATATCCCTGTAACAGGCCGTGAAGGCCCATAGGGTTGTGAGACGTAGAGGTTCCCATATTATCTAGACAATCGGCTCAAAGTTTTTGCGGTAAGGTTGTCAGCCCTGCGCGCCGGCCGCCCTTTATTCCCCAGGAAAATTATTTAATTAATTCCTGGTACTCATTTCTGTTAGAGGCTGAGTCAACCCCAGGGCCTAACAAAAATGAGTATCAGGAATATTCCGGGGGAAGGGGGGTAAAGGGCGGCCAGCGCGTAAAGCTGGAACCACCGGCATAAAATATATTTGTTTCTTAACAGTTTCAAGCACTGTTGCTCTTACATGAACCATCCACTGTTTGTCTGTATGTGTGTAGCGAATGGTTCTACAATAAACAGCGAGTTTTTCCTAAACAGCATTAACTGGTAGTTTTTTAACTGTGATATAATGTGTTTCCTGTGAGGTACGGACTGAATTTTATATTTGAGAAGAAATTCAGTCTTCATAGGTTTAAATGAGACTCTTGTAAAACTGCATTAATTTTGGTGAATATACGGTATATAAAATATTTTTTATGTCCAAATGATCATTCAGCAAATATTAAACGTTTTAGGTCCATCCCTTCTGAAACTGTGGTTTCAGTACCCCTACAGGTACAAAGGCAAATTGTCAGGGGCAGGCCTGCTAAATATTCAGTTTTTTTTGGCAACATTCCCACTGGAAACTTACTTGTCGAAGTTTTTATTTTCAAACGATTCAGAATACTGCCTAACACGTGACAGATATGAAGCTCATAATTGTTTATTTAGGTTACAGTGGCTTCAAAAATAATCAGTGTAGTTTGAAGTTTGTTTTCTGTGGTATTCAGACAATGTGTTTCAGTGTGTACCACAAAGTACAAGAATTTTCAGAGCCCTGGCTCTAGGGCATATTCATCAGCTGTTTTTGCAGCATTTTTAAAATTGGTGCCCCATATAAATCCTCCAAATTTCTCTTCTTTCAGTTTTAGTATATCGCCCACCGTCAAAACGCATGTTTTCCCACATAAATTTGACCTGCAACACGATCTCTTCCTAAGGGGCCCAATTGAGTAGTTGTCTTCCTTTCTCACCTGAAGAAGGAAACAGATCCAGTTTCCGAAACGTCGTGTCCTCTATTACCTAGAATTCTGGACGATGGAAGAAATCCAAAAACCCAGTAAATCTATGTCATCAACCATCGTCAGAACCCTTTAGAATCTCCTCTGTCTAAGTGTTCAGTAAATCACATCCAACAAAGTTAAGGGAGGTTTAATTTTTGTAACGTTATCTTAAGGGGTCTCTCCTCTTTAAACAATTACTTGAGTTTAGTATTCAGAAGTAGATATTCAGAATACTATAAAATTCATCCAGAATTTTGATTACTATAGTTTTAGGATATAGAAGCAGATACTTGAGCTCAATATTAATATTTGTGCAATAAAATACACTTTTAAGTTCCACTTTCTTAAAAAATCGTTGACTATTTCGACCATATTGGTGATAATGAGCTGAAACTTGGCAAGTTGCTGTGACAGACATCACGGTTCTAACATAACACTATGTACAAAATCGGAGTATAACATCAACCCACCATCCCTCTCCCAGAACTGTGGCATGGTCGAACTGCCGAGAAACGCTGGCAGACACTGCAGATCCTGAACGTAGGGCTTAAGCAATCTCCGATATTTTCAAACTGTTCATTGTGGTCACCTGTCAACAGATATTCTATGAAACGACAGCCGAGGTTGGGTCGGGAGAGGAACTGCTACTGGGGCCCCGGGAACCTCTGCAACTCGACATGTTCGGGGAGTCGACCACAACTTCTGAAGACCGCAGCGACAGAGAGACCGGTGAGTATGACTTCATTTCAGTCGCAGGGAGACATTATCAATGTACGGTGCTTTAACATTTAGAAACCAGACATTGAGGTGGAAGGGACAGCACCCTTCCTCCATATTCTGGAGTCCCGGTTTCAAAATTCGGCCAGAAGACCGGTTATCCGACTGCGGTTTTCTGTGCCTTTCCTCACTTTCTTCGGGAAAATTTCGATATCTCAAGTTAGGCCACGACCGCTTCATTCACATAACTCTTATTCTAATTCATTACTGACTAAATCATCCAGCCATGCAACATTTTATGATCTGAGCTACTGACATGCTTTTAAACAGGACTAAACCGTAATTGCATAAGTGAAGTATTCGGTCTGACGTCATTAAGAGGAAAGAACAGAAAACGTTACCCCTGTACTTCATTAAGCAACAAGCCATGAAGATGTAGGGAGGAGTGGATGGTAGCTCCTCTCATTCTGAACCTTCACCCTAAATAGAGATGAGTGATCAGCTTCACGGTCACTCTACTGCGAGGGAAAGAGCCCCTAGTACTCATATAATTGGATGTTGAGTGCGAGGCATAGCAGGTCCAAATGTGTGGTCCCAGCCCCGTAACATAGTCTAAGTACTGAATGAGTTAACCTGAGTTGTGAAGTAAGAAGTAAAGCTACCCCTGTAACAGGCCGTGAAGACCCATAGGGTTGTGAGATGTTGCTGGTCCCACACTATCTAGACAATCTGCTCAAAGATGGCGGCAAGGTTGTCAGCCCTACGCGCCGGCCGCGTTTTACTCCCCAGGAGAATTATTTAATTCATACCTGTTACTCATTTCTGTTAGAGGCTGAGTCGAACCCAGGACCATAGTGCGGCTGGAAGGATTAGGTAAATTAAAAAAAATATCCAATAACCTCATTGTGACTTGAACCCGCGACCTTCCTGCTTGTAGCATAGTGCCTCAATCAACTACGCTAGAAACATTAATAATGATATTCATCTAAAATGAGCACAGTTGAGTTGTGTATTATGTGCTAATGTCGGAAAGATATTTCGGAAAATAAATTTAAAAAAGTATATATTGATTCATGGACACTTAGGGTAGTAGATGAGAAACATCTGGAAAGTTTCGAAATGTGGTGTTGGAGAAGGATGGAGAAGATCAATTGGACCGATTATGTGAGAAATGAAGAAGTGTTAATTAGAGTCAGTGAGCAGAGGAATATCCTACATGAAATAAGAAAACGGAAGGCTAATTGGATTTGTCATGTTTTACGTAGAAACTGCCTTCTAAAAGAAGTTTTGGAAGGAAAGATAGAGGGGCGGATAGAAGTGACAAGAAGACAAGGAAGAAGACGTAAGTAGATGCTGGATGACCTTGGGGACAGAAGAGGATATTCTCATTTGAAGGCGAAAGCTCTAGATCGCAATAAGTTGTGGAGTTGTTTTAGAAGAGACTGTGGACCTGCCGTCTTGACAGATTACTGATGATGATGATGATGATATTGATTCGAAATTTAGTTCCAGTATTGATTTATTTCTTCATTAGAAGTCCTACTTCTTGCCTAAATTTTGCACTAACATTTCCAGTGCTCTGTGTCGCCCTAAATATGTGTATCAGTGAAAAGGGAGAGGTTCTAAACATTCCATTGGCTTATATTATTCGAGAACAAACTGATCTCATAAGTCTCCCTTCATTTGTGTTTCAAAATAAGAACTCTGGCTAATGAATATAGCGTTGGAAATAATATAACAAAATACTAACTCTGTGCGTTGAACAGACTCCGTAGCACGGCACGTGCACTGAACAGTTCATAATTGGTAGGCCAAGGAATTCCATGAATTTATGGGGTCTGAAATTTTCTCACCACATCCACAGAGGCCTGTGTTAAGGCCATTCTCTGAGCCAGTTAAAATATTTATATCTTTTTCCATCTGTACTCTGTTTGCTTCCATAGCTAAGTTTTCAACTCTGAAGATAGAGGTAGTACGTTCCTCCGAAAGCTCAATAAACTTCAACCAGAATGAACGTCACATCCCAGTAGATGAACGCCCTTCATAATCACAGTCATGAGAACCTCAGATTTCAGAAGCAAAACTAGTCTCCTTCACTATCCGAGATGCATTTAATAATAAAATTCCCTTCTGCATGGTACTTCCGAATTACCATTTCGTATTCCACCATGCGTGCTACATGAAACGTCCATCTCGTCCTCCTTGGTTTGATCATCAAAACAGTTATTAGTTTACTTCCCCCTTGTTTTATGTCCTAGCCACCCCATTTACTTCCTGTTTCTTATGTCTGGACATTCTCGACGCTTTATGCAGGGAGAGAGGTGAGGGCAGAGCTGAAGGTCAGACCTATTCAAGCCCATTGATCTACTGATCGTTACTTTGAATGGCAGAAGGGGAAAGTGAAGTATATTTTATCGTAAATCGTCTCGTGCCTTGGCGGGTGCAGGACGGCAAGCAACCGCGCTGGGATGACAAACACTGTGAGTGGGGGACATCGTGTGTAGTGCAGGCTGACCACGAGCTTACATTTGCTGGCACGGCATTCAGTTCGGTTGAAGAGTCTCCGGCCCTGTGAGGTGTGCTAGCTGTATGGTGACGTCATTCAAGTGCGGCACACGGAGAGGGGCAGAGAGAAATGATTTTCGCTAAATCATTAACGATAATATTCATTCTGAAAAAAGTAATATATTGTATCTCACATTTTTTCCGTTCTTAAAGTCGCTGGTTCTGATTCACTGTTTAGGTCAGAATACGACAGGACGCTATCATAAGCAATGACTAAATAAGCACATTAATTCATTTCTAATCCCACGCGACATGCGGCAGTTTCCTTTCCGTTGAAAACAGAGTACACACCCCCCTCCTACACATCACTGTTCTCTGATGCTTGCCTTAAGTAACCCCTCCATTCCACGGCCAGGGAAATCACAATCGAACTCCTTAGCCTTGCTTTTATTCATACATGTATAAAACAATGCAATGAACAGTCTTAGTTGATACAGGAACATCTGCTGAAACCCAGAGGTTCATCACCGTCATTGGACTCTTTCCTTGGCGAGTTTATGATGGTTCGCATACAGCCTGTTTTGGTTAAGATTGGTTTATTGTACTCTTTCCTTGGCGAGTTTATGCTGGTTCGCATACAGCCTGTTTTGGTTAAGATCTGTTTATTGTACTCTTTCCTTGGCGAGTTTATGCTGGTTCGTTCGCATACAGCCTGTTTTGGTTAAGATCTGGTTTATTGTACTCTTTCCTTGGCGACAGCCTGTTTTGGTTAACATCTGGTTTATTGTACTCTTTCCTTGGCGAGTTTATGCTGGTTCGTTCGCATACAGCCTGTTTTGGTTAAGATCTGGTTTATTGTACTCTTACCTTGGCGAGTTTATGCTGGTTCGCATACAGCCTGTTTCAAGATCCCTTTTATTATCGTCATCCAGCCGATGACTTGATTTTCCAAGTGATGTCTTCCTCAGAGATAAGTAATCAGAATTGTATATGTATTTCTGGGTTGTTCCATGCGTCCCGCGTTCTTGATATGTTTATCGTAAACTTCTTAAAAACCAGGTCCACAAGCTTTATGCTACAATCCAATCGAAAAATGCACATTGTTAACAAACGTACGAGAAATTAAATACACATTTTCCCATTAATTTTCAGGAGTATAAGTACAATTTCAGTGCAAAAAAATATCAAAATATTATTTGTTGTCCTTGAAGCCTAAATTGATTTTACTGTACAAGTGAACATATACTCATAGTACAGTACAGAGCAAACACTCTTCTAACGCGAGGAATATGCCTCGAAAGCGACAGGTTCGATTAATCCGCGTACTGGAATTCGGCCTTGGAAAATAAAATAAATAAATAATAAGATCATAAATATACTGTAATTATATTTATTTATGAATGTACTGTGCAATGTAATAACGTATTTTAGAGTTCAGCATCAACATAAATTACCAACGGATACTTATGCTTTCCAATAAGATTAACGGAGTGCTAGGTACCGGATAAAATACTAACACAAAGTTAAACATCAATGAAATTTTGGAACCTACTAGAACACGCTCGGTTGACCGCGTATAAGAGACTTTCCCGCTTTCGGCAAGAAATTATTCTCCTATATTTTTGCACAAGAGCCAGGGTAGCGCAGGCGGTATAGCGACTGGCTACGAGCTGGACGACCAAGGGGTCGTAGTTCAAGTCCCGGTGGGGGCAAGAATTTTCACTTATCCATGTCGTCCAGACCGGGTCTAGGGTCCAACCAACAACCTATTCAATCGGTAACGAGGGCTCTTTCCCTGGGGGTAAAGCGGCAGGAAGCTGACCACTCACCTCTAGCTAGTACCGACGTCAAGAAAATGTGGATCTATACATCCACTTCCCCCTACGCCTTCATGGCTTCGTGCTTAATTAGTTAAGCGTAGGGACAGCTTTACCTCTACCTTTTATTTACACACATATAATCGATCCGGTTTAAGCAAATTCGTACTGCAGAAGAGTTGGCTGTAACAATTAAATGTTTAGTATTATAAAAATTCAGTTAACTAACTTCATGGAACAGGATGGTTTCTGTAGCTAGTGCGCTGGTCGAGATGTCTCCATCTTTTGCAAACCCCGAAGGTTAAATTCCGTATTGTCCAAAGCCCGCCACTGAACTTAATTTTGAGCAATTTGAGTGCAACACGCATTCCTACACCATGTACGTAACTTTATAATCCATTTTATTAACATCATCTATGCCTAGTTCTCCCAAGCGTTCTCTTACCGTCACTGTTTTCCAGTAATATTTTGTAGAATTTCTTATCTCTCCCATATTTGCTACATGCTCCGTCCATCATATCCGCTATTTGATCTCCATAATAATAATTGGCGATGAGGAAAAATTACGGAGCTCTTCAGTATATAATTTTTCTTACCCTCCTATGATTCCTTCTCTAAGGTCAAAATATGCTCCTTAGCACCGTGTTTTCAAACACCCTATATTCTTGCCATAATGTTGGACACCGTGTT